ATTCATCCAGGCAAACGATGGATATACCCGATATTGACTTTTCGATGACTAATTATCAATGTGTGGGTCATGATTGACATTTTATAATGTGATTTGACAATTCAATAACGTTTTTGAGCTTTCACTGACAATACTTATTAAAGATAATTTTAAGCCTGAAAACTGTCCATATTTTGATGTCATGATATGTAAATTAAAAATTGTTATTTTACGGTGATAATGCATAATTTCATTTGATAAACACGTTTAGATTGAATGGTAATTTATAATCAGTCACAAGAACGTCGAATCTGAATCACTTGAAAAAAACACTGGGGTGCTTAACTTTTTTTCCAGGTGTATATATAGTTCACAGCCATACATAATTGAACTGTATTGCTTGTGAATGATCTGAAAAAATTGACTACACCTTAGGCTTTTCTCTTCTCTTTATTTACACAATGACTAGTGTTTCATCTAAAAGCAAATTCAAGGTCTTTGAGCATGGCACTATTATCAATGAGTTAATGACTCTTTAAAGTCTCCAATGTTGTTAGTCATTAATTTTTCTTTATTTTTTTGTTCCTCTGTTCCTTTTATCTTTAATGTTTTATTGATTATTGTCAGATATGGAGTACTTTGATGCTCATTCCAATGCCTGTCTTCCTTGTTTTCTCTTCCTAGATCGTCACCTTTGGCCTTTTATTGTGGTTTATTTTTGATTTAACCAGAATGCCAGCACAATCATAATCACATCTACTTCATATTATACACATCTGGCACATGCAAGTGATTGGTGTGATATTAGTGTGTAGAGGCACGAGTATGGTACACCTACATAATGTACTAGAAAGTATATGTGCTGGTGCTACTGCAAATCTAACAAAAGAGCAATGTACTTTTTTGGTCGAACTAGTGATTTGTTTTCGGTTTCTTTTTTTACTGCCAAAGGAATTATTAACACAATAAAAACTTCATTTTTTGGATACTTTTAATGTAAATCTATCTGCCCCTCTCAACTTTAGATTTTGCTGTCTTATCAAACACTAAAACTGTTAAGTTGCTTTATAAAACCAACATTAAGTCTTAAATGTACATTTAATCTTTAGTTTCTGCCAGAAAACCTTTTAATTGATCTTGTACAAAAAATATTTTCTTCAATCCTGTATTACCCTTAACAAAAATACACTAATTCAAGAGCATACAAACTTTCCAAGCTCATGGCACTTTTCTATGGTAAAAGTATAAATAAAGAACCAAAACAAAGGTGTGATCATACCCTGCTGACTTTTACTATTTTAAACAAACAACCCAAATGTAAAAAAAAAACAGATTTTAAATTATAAAAAAAAAGCATATTTGCACTGTTAATTTCATGAAACAAAAAAGGTTACATCAATTTAGGTTGCTGTTTTCTACTGAAACTATCATCAGACTATAAAAAACACTACTTGTATACAACTTATTCTCTAATAGTGAACACTTTCCAAAAGTAAATAAAAGAAAATGTTAACTAGTTTCATTACTGTTCAGTTCGGAAAATAAATTAAATCCAAATTAATAGCCAAATTACACTAAAATACACACTAATGAGCAAATAAAAGTCCATGTGCTCTGTTCTGTACATAAAATTCAGCGTATATCAATGTATAAAAAAGCTGCACAAAACTTAAAATGGTAGGTCCTTGAAAATAATGTGTATATAAGCACAAGAATACTGTTATCACAAAATCACATGAACACTATTTGCAGATAACTAGTCTTCATAACCTAATAATTAAATTATAAATATTAGTTTTGGTGATTACTTCAACAGAAAAAAACTTGTATAAAAATTGAGTAGCAATCACATATAGTATTTATGAAAAATTGGCACGCTTGCAATAGACAACTAGAGTACGAAGGAATTACTAAATACACCACTTGTACTTTTTAAAGGCATCATTGTGTAACATACAAAACTGTTTGGGATGCAAGTAAGTTTTTCATAAACCTTGAATACTTCTGCTCTAAAAGAATTGTATTATAACTGACATTTTTCTCCATTATGACTCAAACAACTATTCTCAGAGTACTAATAATGTAACAACATCTTCCTTGATGTTTTCTTTACATACACAACATAGAATGTCTACATTATGATTGCTACATAATGCCCCCCAGATGTTAGAAGATATCTAGTATTACTATTAGTACAAATACTTATCTAACCAAGTGATTGACATACAATAAGTACTGAAGACAAATATTGAACAATTCTACATCTGGAAGGTTTTACTGAAGAAGGATCCGAAATAATAGCACAGTTCATCACTAGATGGTAATTACAGCACAAATCTGCCTACAGTTTTAACAGGTTTTGATGGTTGCCATGACAAGGAAGATGATGTTAGGCAAACATTAACTTTTATACTTTCAAGTTTGTCTTCATAAATAATAAAGTTTCAAGTTGGAATGCCAGCTATGGTAGCAAGGGCATTTATGGACTTCCATTCAGAATTTGATGTTTGTTTGGTACAGGAAGACTATGTTCTACAGTGGATCCATATTTACCCTATCAAGAGGAATTGATGGAAGTTACACAACTTCTTTGTCAGTAGTATTCCCAGAACAGGTCAGCAATTAATAATAATAATAACACCATGGTTATCTTATTCTCAATACAGGCCATGGTTACCATGTCAACAAAGAAAAGATGCGAGTTACACAACTCCTTTGTCAGTGAAGTGGTAGTCCAAGATGTCATCTTCAACTTGGGAGAAAGAAAAGAAGTAAAACACAATGAGAGAAAAATAAAATCAACACATACATGTATACAAGTTTAATAGAAATATACCTTATGGAAAATCCTTTTTATGTATAACCACTTCAGTTGCTTAGTTTTTGTTCAAATAAATATAACTACCAAATGATTCTGAAAAATTAATATAAGGACATGATTTTCTCTACTTAGAAACAATTATTTTAATTTCTTAAACAAGTTATTAAATTGTTTTTCTTACGACTATCATAATCTTTCAAAGTGGTCATAGCAAAACACAATCACTTCATTCCAGCCAATTGATATTGATATAAAAATAAAACAGATGTTTTAATTTAACCATTTTGGCACAGACGATGACTAAAGTCAACACATAAAAATAGCATGTTTGGTGACATTTATCGACATAATGATCCCTTGCCTGTGTGGCTAAATTATATTGTGTCATTTGGTTTTGTAATACCAAATAGCCCTCTAGCAAATGAAAATAAATGTTTTGGAAATCCCCAATGTGGTTTTATTTGAAAAATAATGCCATTTATCACTAGTAATCTTGAAGAATCCAATGTGGTGTGCTTGCAGATACTACAACCTTTCCACCTGTAGAATATTTTCAAGTTGTTTTCATTTTCTCAGATGAAGCTTTCCAACTTATTTCTTAAGAAACAAAAAAAAAGGTATGCTGATCAGGTTATAAACAATCCTATGGACCTTGCACCCAAGTCTCATTTCCACAAATGGGTTGATACAAACACATCTGAACTAAAAGCTTATGTAGCATTGCAGATAACAATGGGACTGTGGTAGAAAAATGAACATTAGGGAACTTTTTGACTCGCTTTCATTCTGTTCAGTGATGTCAAGAGATAAGATTTGAGCTAAAAACCTCCTTTCTCTATTTTACAGACAATAATGGGGTCAGCCTGGATTTGATCCTTTCTGGAAAATATGACCCCTTTTGGATATCTGTAACCCCCCCACTAAGCACTGCATTTGGTCCAAGTAAACATTTGTCTACTGACGAAAGTGTCATTCATAATGTCTGAAAAACATTTAGGTTCAAGAAGTTTTAATATAAAATGCTAAAAACCCTGTAACCCTTTTGTAATAGGTTTCATTTGAACAGATTTTCTTTATTCTAAGAGTTTGACTGTAGGTAATGTGAATGAGGTGACAACTTTTATAGTGAAGGTACATTGATTTCAGGAAAGTTCATTTAGGTAGGAGAGTAATTAAAGGTAAACTTGATTCTTTTGTGAAAGATGTTTTCACATGAGATAAGTTATTTAAGTGATTCAAAACTGGCTATCCAAACGAAAATTGTCATCTATTAATGTTTCCATGTATGAGGTTTTACAGGGCTTAGCTATAAAAGCTGGCTTTCAACATGATCCACAAAAATATTGGAATAATAGGGAGCCATTTTGGTACCAATTGCTGAACCATTAACTTATTATTATTAAAGCTTATTATTGAATTTGAAGTTGTTCAGAGTTAAAACAAGGCTGTCAAGATCAGTTACTATTTGGAGTTCTGATAGGTTAGAAAGGGTTAAGGTGGACTTTAGAGTTTTTAGTCCTTCATCAAGTGGAATGTTATTGTAAAGGGAAGAAACATCCATTGTGTAAAGAAGCCTATTAGGTGGGTAAGTGTCCATTGGTATTGACATCTTCTATGATAGTAACAAAAGGAGTAGTATTCTTTATGTAAGAAGGGAGGGTACAGGAAATACATTTTATGCATTGGTCAACAAAAGTGGACAGCTTTTCAGTAGCCATGTTTGTGTTAGAAATTATGGGTCAGCCAGGACTGTGTATTTTTAGTAAGAGATAAAATTTACCTGGACAAACTTGTCTGGGTATCAAATAGTGGAAAGTTTCATTGTTATTTTATTGTTTTAGAGGAGTTCTTTAAGTTTATCACTTATGGTCTTAATAAACTGAGTCCTGTGAGAGTTTCTTATAGAAATTAGCATCTTTTAGTTGGTGATTAGTTTCAGCAATATATTCATCTTTGTTAAGAATAACAATAGCACCACCCTAATCTGTTGGCTTTATTTTGATATTGTTGTTCAATTTCAGATTGTTCTTTCATTTTGATTATGGTTATTATAACACTGTTTGGATGATTTTAAAGTTTGTATCATGTCATTTTCCACTGCTTTAATATAATTCTCTGAATGTGGTTCTCTATTTGGTGGAGGTGTCCATGAAGACTTTTCTTTGAAATTTAGTAGGATGGAGTTTGTTGTAAAAAATTCATGAAGTCTCAGTTTTCGAGATAATTCATGCAGGTCAGAAAGAAGTTTGGTTTCATTAACAACATTATTGCTTGGGCAGAAGTTGAGACCTTTACTAAAAGAGACTGATTTCTGCTTCTAAGAAAGTTATGTCTGAAAGATTAATAATGTTAGAGGTATTTGGGAGTGTACATCGTTACCTGTGCAATTTATGAGGTCACTATTACTTTTAACAGATTTGTTAGTTTGAGAAAGCTTATTTGTTTTAAAGAATGAAGTGTTTTTAGGGATTTTATGTTATTTTTTGTGAAAGTATCATCAGATTCTAGGGCCATGTATCTTTCAGGCAGTATATGCCATCTAAACCCACATGTTGGGGAATAAACCAATGTGCCTTAGGTGATAGCAAATCTGGCTATGCTTTGAAATATATTACTTATTGAGGTAAAAGGACTTATCACACCACTCGAGAGGGGTTTTCTGTGACTGAGTTTATTTGCTTAGAATTACTGTAGGAATATGAACACAGCTGGGCAATAGTGTATAATGATAATTTCTACTCATCATTAAAGTTATTTGCTGAACTAAAAAGGCTTGGCATTGGGGTATGTAGTACTGTGAAACCTGGATGCTACCAGTGATTCATCCAGAGCATCAACATTTGGTAAAAGGTGATGATCCAGTGTTTATATGAAAAGGAAACCTTGTTACCTGTGCCTGGAAAGACACAAAATGGGTCCAATATTTGTCCATTGTACACACTAATAATACAGTTGATAAATAGATTCAGGCTAGAACTGAAGAGGACAGCCACAGGAAAATTGGTAAGCCTGTAATAGCTGAAATATAGAACCAGGGTGGCGTACATGCTGAATAAAAAAAAACTTGGAACTTTTGAATTTCCTCATAAGGCCTCAAAGTGAAATGATACCATATACCACACAATACAAGAAGTAAACCTGGCAAACAATTACATTCTGTATAGTGATGATCATGGAGAAAGGAGAAAATTTCACGAGCAAGTGATTCAGGGATTACTGCATGGTTTTCAAAAAAGCAATAAACATTCAGGACAACAATCATGTCTTGATCTTCCAGCTAGACTCATAAAGAGGCATTCTGTTGCCCAGTTTGATGATTAAAGTACAAACCAGACAGTGTAGTCTGTAGAGATCAGTCCAGAAAATGCAAACAAACAAACTTCAATTAAATGTAAACAATGAACTGTATCACTTCTATAATGACTACAAGCAGCAGTTCAAAGACATCAGAAGAACAATACAGATCAATAAGCAGACAGTACAAAAAGTGGAATTAACAGTAGAATATATCATTGAATGTCAATTAAAGTTAATATTTTATCATTTCAAACTATTCACTTGATTGTGTGAAGATTTTGTAATGATATCTTGTGTAGTTTTCTATAAATACTTTTCAAATATGCAAGGTAGTTTTTCATCTTTATGGAAAATATATTCAGTACCACACTTAACTAGCTTTTCACGAGTTCAACTTGTTGACAAACTATTATTAATGCCACTCCTAACATAACATAAATACATGTATTCTTCCTTCAGATCACAAGCAAAAGAAAATTGATTTTTTCCCCATACTCTTGAAAGTTTGTTGTCATTCTGAACTTGAAAACATACATATAGCTTTTTCTAATTTTTTTAGAATTAAGTTCAGAATAACTTGTTTTAAACTAATGCTGGCTGTATTAGCTACTACACAAGACCAATATACCTATTCTAGATTGATCACAGTTTTCAAAGTTACCAAGTTTTGTTTTAGTAGCTTACTCTTAATGATGATTTGAATGGTTATTTGTTGTTAAGCACAAAGTGACAGAATGGGCTATTATTATTGTGGGTACTGAAACCCAATTAGCATTACAAGCATTTAAGTTTACTTACCAGTGAGCCACTGGGAAGCTTGAATGTATATAATTAATGTTATTTTCTTTAAGGTGACTAATTATTTCAGCTGAAGCTAGCCCAGACGTTCATTGTGGTTAAAGTATCAGAAATAAGTCATTTGTTAGCAGATAAAAATACCTCTTCACATGTTATCCTCATCTCTCAAATGAAGTATCTTACATCTACCATTAGTTTTTTATTCTGATTTAAGAAAAACTGCAGGAAACCTATCATTCAACATGTAATCATAAAAATTTGTTTTTTACAAAGGCAACATTTTTTTTTCAAATGTGGTAAACTCCATTTCTTAAAATACTCTTCATATTTTATATATACCTACAAAATTTTAATAAAAACTTTTAATGTCTAGTTTAAAAGATAAAAAACATTAAATAAAAGTAGTTTACACATCTAACAAAAACTGTCAACCACACTTAACAACGAACAACTCAAACCATTTACAGAAACAGCTCTTTATACAAAACATTCACAAAGAATGACCATAGATCTAATACCACTCAGCTCTGGTGGAATAGCTTCAAGACGAGTCATGTCTTGAGAAGTCTGTGTATTGTAACTATGTTCACTTCCACTGCTTCCAGCTCCTTTTTCAACACCCAAATCCCCATGATAGCCACCACTCTGCAAACTTGGTTCTTCTATTTCACTAGCCCCTGGACTTGTTAATTTGCTTTCATTGTCTTTCTTAGCTTCTCCACTATTGCTGCTGCCACCTTGAAAAAAAAAACAATCAGTATTTCAAGTTTCTATCCTTAAAATCACTCTCATAAGATAAAATACACATTACCCCAATTATTACTGTAATTTTCAAATTATAAAAACAGCACATATAAGCCACACATTCTACAAGTCAACATTACGAAAACAACAACAAGAACTATATAAACCACAGCTGTACCATAGGTATTTTTGAGTTACCAGTAGGCTTACATGAAAATATTTCACACATATTCTACATGCTTTTTTTTTCCCATAGTAGTTATTTCTTTCTAAGAAAAACATAATAAAATACAAAAATAAAAAGATATTGTGATTTTATTGTTTCTTATTGTATTATTTTCCAACAGTTTTTTAGCAACAACGGAAGACAACAATAAATGTGCGTGCTTCAATCATTTATTAAAGTATTCTAACTAATATAAAAAACTTGGTTTCTATAATATGTTCTGTCTAAATTACAATCTCCAAAAACCCATCGAAGTCAGATTCTTCAGAATCTGACTAAAAGCTCCAGCAGTTCATTCTTAAGACATTCTTACACACACATATATATAGGCCTGTTGGGTGGAGCAACATCCCTCAGAGAATTACAAAATTTAATGTAAGTTACTCACCGTAATATAGATATTACTCGGACAAAATTTGTTTATGGAGCCATAAACTGTCATATCCTCTCTTTCACAAACTGCCCATAGCTCTCTCTGATTTTTATGCTATATCATTTATAACCAATAGAAAGCTTATGTTTTGATCTATCAAATGACGTATTATATTACCATATTTTCTGTACAAGGAATTGTCTAGTTGCCTCGAGTTTTAAACTTCTTTCTCATGAGAATCACCTTGACACACTTAGCTGAATTGTTAAAGGCTCTTATCATATAGTTAGAACGTCAGAAAAATGATGATATTTATAGGACACTGTTTTTTGTGTGCAAACTTTTCATGTAATTTAACTGAAAAGTTATCAATAGCATAAAATTTGTAGAACTTCTGAAAAACAAATTCATGTATAAGCTGCACTCGTGGTTTATAACTTGAAAATTATGGTCCAACAGAATCAATATCAGAATACTTAATCATTCATGTTAGTATTCTCCGAAAATTCTAGAGAAATATTAAAATATTACGGTAGTTGTTATTGACAGCATTCTAACAAATTGTAGAAAATAAATAATTAAAGCAATATTTAACCACCTTGCCACAAGATAACATTCCATTATATATTTTCCAATTGAAGTAGCCCAGACTGTAGTGCTGTGGAAATACAAATGTATTCTATCCCTTATAATCTCTGTTGTGATTAACCTAACCCATGCTCCAGAATAAGTTGTAAAGCCAAATGTTATGATTTTCCTACACTGAAAATGTATTTCTGACAAGTATCTACTTCTGCTCATATACATAGCTATTCTCATTCAGTGCTGCCCTCTATTTGCAAAATTGTTTCAGAGGCCACGAGCCTTTCACTCTTACACACCCTCGATTCACATGGTTTAACCGATTCTCGGATGCAAACTATCATGCAACAAACCTCCACCAATAGTAGTGTCAAACACCCACATGACTTGTGATTCCCTCTATGCTATTCTATCTATCTATTGCCTTGAGTTTAGGCAGAAATGTAAGCACCAGTTGACAGTGGGGAGGAAGAGTGGGAAGTGTGAGTGGAAGCAAGTACCTGTCAGAAATACATTTTCAGTGTGAGAAAATTATAACTTCTGACAAGGTACCTCACCTCCGCTCACTTACATAGCTAGAATCCCACATTGAATAGATGGAGGAACCAGTGCAAGGGAGAAAGTAGAAGCATCCTTCGAAAGTGTCCAAAGGACACCCAAGTGAGGGAACCCTCTAAGAAGGGGATTATACGTAGTAGATCGCACCACTTATGTACCAGGTACACTTTTCACCAAGATGTGGAAAAAGAGTGACAGATTAGAGTGGAAAATTGTGAGGAACACATCCTAATGGGAGAGAAAATGGTTGGACAGTGACCCTAACCACAATATGTTATAATTTCAATCTCCTTGATGAAAAGAATGTGCCCCAAGGTGTAGAGCGGCTAGGGCATGGCAGACCATACACAGCAAGCCAACCGCATCCAAACTCATCATCGGGAACTGACATTCATGCAGGAGTAGGAAATAGGATCATACTATCTTCACCTCCAGCTCAGCCGATTGGAGGAAGAAATCCCACTCCTGATCTGTGAACAGGGCACATGTGAGCAGAGTGAAATAACACACACACACATATATATATATATATATATATCTCACTCAAATGAAACTCACTGGAACCACCTGAATGCAGTAATGTCCTCGGCATAAAGACATCGAGGGGTAGTGCAAGAGGAAGAAGCAAAACAACTAACAAGTGCACCCACAAAACCAGGGCAGTGCACCTGAGGCAAAAGGAGTGAGGTACCAGGCACCCTCCAAACACATGTGTGAGGACTTATGTTGATTGGTTCAGCTTTGAATCCATAACTCAACCGCCAAGAACCGACTTCCATGAGGGTGTAGGATGAGGGACCCCAATCATTATGACAGTGCACTCCAAAGCTACATCTCTTCGGATAAACCCATGCAGAGATTGAGCATCCATTTGAAGGACATCTTGTCATCTACACCAGCAGAACACAACCACCCTACTCTCAACTGAATGGAGTCTTTATTGTTTATATTGTATATCTCTCATTCAGGAGGATACCTCCATGGTCCACCACCCTAGCAGCTTGGAACTGGAAAGTAGTAAGGACTCTTACTTCATTAGAAGAAATGAGAGGGGGGATACAGTGGAGAGTCCAGAGGAACATTCACACTGGAGACAGTGCAATGGATGTCCAGGAAACTCTATTTTGAAAAGCAGCAAAACCTGATTTATTCAATCTCAGGAATGGGCAGTAATCCCCTTCTGCTTTACCCATGAAGTCCATGGGGTAGTAAGATCCAGAACGGGCATATTTATGAAGCAAAGATATTGTGAGGAATAACCTATGAGGAATCTTGTGGAACACTCAATCTTTAGTTTATGTGATTGTAATGAACAGTTTGCATTTTGTGAACATGGAAATTATGAAAGTGAAGTCAACATGGCCTTATAGTGCGGGTTTTAGTACAATTCTAAGTGATTGACGTATACTTGGACATGCACCACTTGCCACAGAGCGGGATCCTGGTTAAAACATGGGACAGGCCTCTGAAAACAAGGAATAAAAGGCCAATCCAATCACAAGCCAAACCCAATGGGTAAGGGAGGAAGGGAAAAAAAATCACGAACAGAGAAGTGGTGCAGGGGAATTAAGCTGCAGAAAAGAAGAAGCCTTGAAAGCAATGAAGCAACCTAGAGCATGTATGGGACAGAGAAGGTCATCTGAATCTAACTGACAATAAAAGTGGAATATGGCAAAAACTGAAAATGACAAAAAAAAATATTCCAAATAAGCCTCCAAAGTGTTGGTTAGTAAAATCGATCCAGAACAAAAAGGACATATTAAGTCAAAACACCCAAGGAAAACCAGACCTGACTCAGAGTGACATGGATGATCAAAATCACCTTGGGAAGAAGACTCAGGGAATGAAAAAAGTTATAATATTCAGGTACTGAAAATGTATTTCTGATAGGTACTTATATTAACTCACATAAATAGGTATTCTCATTCAGAGCTGCCCTCTATATGCAAAAAAAAAGTTTAAGCATGCCACAAGCCTTTCATCTCCTCTCCATTGGAAATGACTGATTCCGATGCATCTCTCATGATACACGTGTCTCCCTCTTTTCAATTCTACTAAACTATCACTTCGAATTTTGTCAGAAGATGGAAGCACCAGTTTTCAGTGAAGGTAAGTACCTATTGGAAATACATTTTCAGTATGGGAAAATTATAACTTTCGATACAGTACGTTATCTCTTCTCACATAAACAGGTAGAATCCCACACTAGGATAAAAGGACCAGTGTGAGGGAAGAAAGAAGTATCCTTTGAAAGTGTCCAAAGGACATTCCCTAAGAGGAGACAGTTAGATTCTAAGATCTGATGTGGGGGACAGCACCACTTCTGAACCAGGTATACACTTCACCCATCCTAGAAAGATTTCGTACATATGGGCAGGAAATACAGGAGCATATCCAAGTGGGAGAGAACTAAGGTCAGAACCATATAATATCTATGCAACTCTATCCCAAAAATTATAAAAGTGGGTAAAATTAAAAGGTGTAGAGTGGATAGGACATGACAAACCATACACGGCAAGTCAACTACACCCAAAACCCATGCCACCGGGAACCGACATTCATGCGGGGGTAGGATGAAGATCATACTGTTGGTAAGTCAACTACAATCCAAAACCCAGTTACCGGGTACAGACATCCATGTGGGGGTAGGAAAAAGGATCATACCTCCAGCAAGTTGACTACAATCCAAAACCCAGGCCACCGGGAACCAACATTCATGTGGGGGTAGGAAAAATGATCATACCAGTGGCAAGTCAACTATAATCCACAACCCAGCCATCTATTGGGGGTTGGACAGAGGATATTCTCCTCTTCACCTCAAGCTCATGAGGCCAGAGGGAATCATAAACCCCCAGACCAATGAACTGGACACTTTTAATATAAGAAATTGATAGATCGATCCAGGAACCTGACATCTAGTATCAAAAAGATGTTTGCATAATGTAAACCATCTCCCTCAAAAGTGAAATTGATTGGAACTGCCTCAAGCACAGTAACATCCTCAGAATAATAAACATCAAGGGATAGCAGAAGGGGAAGAACTGTAATAATTTACAGTAATTTCATAATGACTCATAACACAGATGGAGTAACAAGAGTATAATT